AGCAGGAGTCAGAGTGAACCAGACTCTTGCTCTGCTACTGACAAACCCTGAACTGGCCACCCAAATCCCCTTTCCCTTAGTCCTGCTTCCACATATGCGAGAGAGCATCCAATCAGTCTGTACGCTCTCTTTCAAAAGCAGATCACTTTTTTGATGTCTGATATTTATAAGGCTCTTGCCCTCTCTTGCTCTAGAAGGTGACTGGTCACCTTGTTCATCTTGCTAAGAATTCACATACACATTCTTTTTCCTTTTTAGGACAAGTTGTTCCTCCCATGATTGAGACAGGACAGTACTTCAAAGGCTTTCCAAACTTCAAAGAAAGTAACCCCCTCTGTTCACTGGTGAGCACTTTTGAAGTCCTTTGAAAAATGCCAGCACGAGTGTTAACAGTTAGTTGCCTGTGGCCATGTATACCATGCTTCACTTTGCCTTGTCTACTCAAACTGACATTCACTAAGGCAACCACTAGATCCGGTGACTCCCACTCACCCATATGTATTTTTCTTCAAAACAACACAACAACAACATGCCCTTCAGACAAACCACGTTTATTCCTTTCTCAGCATCTTTTAAAATAATCTTTGAAATAGCTTCCTTAACATTGTAAATCATAAGGCTATGGTTAGGTTGGGAACAGTCCTGGGTCACAGAGTAAATCAGTACATAGAAGACAGTAAGAACTGTGAGAGATCTGACTTTCTTTTTTCCATCTCTGTTCTCCTCATGCTTTTACCTGGGTTTTAGGTGCAGGGAAACATGGTGGCTTACTGCTGGTAACTCCTGCAAGAAAAATAATAGGGAACATGCTGTAATTTTAACTTTCCACCCTTTATTTCATAGACATCTCTTCCTCTGTTTCAATGTTTATAATGCTGAAATTTAAGAACCAAATTGTTAGTTGATCATTGTGGGAAATTTTACTTCAGAAATTGACAAAGATTTGCAACAATGCCCCTGGTTGGGTCATCTGGTGTGACTGACCCTGGGACACCTGATTGTAAAGCGTGAGTTTTTGCTGCTAGTTAGCTCCTGCATAGTAGCTGCCTGAAATCACTATATATGATGTAATTAGTAGGGGGGGAGACTAAAAGCCACAGTGGCTTAGAGCAGGTTATCAGCACTTAGCATAGTGAATATCTGGTGAGGATTTTCACGAGAGATGTCTCTTAGGTGCAGAAAGGAAGGTGAATTGTGATGAGGCCCCCTAGTCACTAATCCTAGACCTGATCCTAATCCCATTAATTGACTTTAAGTGATGCTAGGCAGGATCAGCCCCCGTGAACTAAAGTGCATATAATTTCAGAGATGTTGGCAGCTTTTTAAAGCAAAATTGGACAATTAGATGAAATGCACAAACCTTCCATTCTGACAGGTTTCACTTTGTTGCAAATATTCCACACAGCCCTAAGTGTCATGCCAAGTTCCTTCCCCTTGCTGCAATTTACTCTCCTGTGTTGTTGAAAATGCCATACTCACAGGCACCATCATAACACACTTATTTGGCTAGGTTTTTGTAGCATTTGGGACTGAGAAATTGTCTCTGAGACTCTTCCATGCATACAATCCCTGTATTGAGTCAAGTTGGCCTCCTGTTGACCCAGAAGGGGAAACAATCCCTAAGATCCCTTGGTAGGCAGTGCCAGAGCAACTCAGCCTCACCCACCAGAAACTGAAAGGTGGGGCTAGAAGTATAAAAGGAGAAGCTCAGAGCTCAATTAGAGCCCAGCAGTTAAGCCAGCCAGACATTCCATCTGACCTCCCAAGGAGGAAGGCCCAGCTGCCATGCCTGAGAAGGGAGAACTGGCCTGGGCTGCCAGGGCCCTTGCTGGACCCAGGAGACTGGATTAGGCCACCTGGGTCACTGCCAGGCCCACAAGACTAGCCAGTTAATCCACCTCCCTCCATCAGTTGTTAGGTCAATGAAAGAATTCTTCTTTTGACCCAGTGCTGTCTAAACCAGCTATGTCTTTTAGGGGGATGGACTTCACAACCAATGAGAGGCATATCTACACCAATGTCAGTTTTCAATATAGATCAGCTCTTAGACAAATTCCTATCCTTAGTAATGGTAGGAAAGTTTCCAGGATTTGGACCTGTACTATTAAGCAGCACACAGATAATGCTATGAGACTGTCTTGAACTAACAAAGCAAAACAATTCAGAGTTGAACTTAAAATAATGTCTGCACTAATAGGATTTGTGCTGCACCATATACAGATGACGTATTGTCCCTTTGGGAATGTATGGCTGTGCTATTAACAGTAATGTCAATGGAATTAATATTTGATGATACTTAGAGGCAGAAATCCCTTGCCAATATGATGCCATGATATGGTCCATAGTATGCTGTTATAGTCAGCCAGAAAGCATAATATTTTGCTGCATCTTTTCCCATGGGAGTTGCATAATAAGCCAATGTGGGGTAGAAAGTGACTCCACAAGGGGAGCTGACAGCTCACATCCAGGGTCCTTGAAGAGCCACTCACTCCCATGGGGATAAATTACATGGGGCTGCAGCTGGCTAGTTTTCCAGGCCAGCAGCAGAGGGTCCCCAGCAGTCATGGAGGAAAAGAGGTGAAGAGCAGACCCTAGTCCCCTCCTGCACCTCCTGTTAGTGTCCCCCCGCTTCTAGGTTGTGGGCCACACAATTAAAAAAAGAGGTGCTGTGGAGCCTACACATGAATGCACACCTGTCAGCACCCCAGCAGAAGGCAAAGACAGCACTGCCACCTGCCCTCCCCCAGCAATGAATCCACATTCTGGCCTAGCTGTCCCAGTGGGGATAAGGGTGCATCTAATGCAACCCCTACAAGAGGGCTGGTTTGAATCAAGCCTAATGTTTGTTTTAGAAGAGTGACCAAAGAGTCCCAGCTACCTTTATTTTACTCTTTACGGGCTACCAAAATGATTGTTTAGCTGCATTTCTGACAACACAATTAATGCGTAGGCTGAGGCCATGTTTTGCAGAGTTAGAAACCAACACACTTTCAAATCAGTTGAGTCACAACCCATCTAGCTCCGTACCGGACACCACTATTATCCTGCATGTCTCCTCAGACATTAGCCATCTGAATGAGGGGGTGAGACAGAATAAACTCCAGTTACTTTGCTGAAATTATATCACAACAGGCAGCCAATCAAGCCATAGAACAACACATGCTATTGGACTGAAATTTCACTCACCAGGAATTACCTGTAGTCCATCTCTCCTCTGGCCTGCATTTAAAACCATCAGTCTTCTGAAAGTCTGAGCAGATGAGGCACTGTCTCCTTATACATGGGCCCTTCTAGTAGACAGATGAATGAAGGAAAATAATTGCAGTGCAGGGAGATTGTTGCTTCCTGTTTAATCGTGGTTCTGGGAAGGTGTATGAATTCTTCAGATATTGTTCACAATAATCTCCAGATCATGCCACATCCCACAAATGCTGTGAGCATCCTTACAAACCATTTTATGTTACACAATTTCAGCTTCATTTCTGAAACATAGCTTGGTCTGCTTCAATTGCAGGGGCAAGTTTGAGAATGTCAATCAAATAGTAATCAAACACAACACGAAATTAAAAAAAAACTATACCTGGCTTTTTAAAGTGGATCAAATTTATTATCTTTAAAAACTGAAGTTGTATCTGTGGATAGGTCCCGAGACAGGAGTGACTAGAGCTGAGTTCTGCTCCCTGTGCTTCTGGTGATTAGCTGCATCATCTTGGAGAACAGTCACTTAGCATTTCTGTGCTTCAATTTTCCCAACAATATAATGGGGATAAAGCTACTGACCCATCTTTGTAAAGTGCTTACCGCTGAAAAGCACTACAGAGATATTATTAATGGTAAATAAAGAAAATGGCATGAAAGTCAGTAGCTATTCTCACTTCTATGGGTAAATCAGTTAGAAACCTAGGGAAATTGTTCTGAAAGGCTCTGAACATGCAGCATAAGAGAACATGAAACTTACAGGTTCAGTGATGTTAATAAGATCTGCTGTCTCTAATTTATGATCTAGCAAGAGAGTCTTCTTGAAACACTCCACTTTCCAGACAGAGGCGAGGACAGGGCTGTAGTAGCTGGACAGGGATGAACTATAGATGATCTACATGGATATTTCCATCTCTAATTTCTATGCTTCTATAAAATGAAACAGTATATATGGGACCTCTAATTTAAACAACTGTTACTTCATGTTAGCTTTGCAGAATCAGGCCTTGGGGTTAGGAAAATGTTGATGGAAAAGACTCCTGTAATTCTAATATCACAAGTATTATTCAATTACTTACAGCTCTGTATCAATCTACAACAGAGCAGTAGGTGCAGGAAACAGTTCAAATGTTATTGTCCATTTAAAAAAAATTATGATCTCTTCATTATCAGCTATTATTTACTTCTCTCCAATCCCTCACAGAAGACCTAGCACAAATAACTGCAGGATTATGCAACCTGGCATAGTCCATTTACACTACTATACCACTGTTGGTAGCAAAGTATATATAATCCATAACAGAAATTTCATTTAAAAGGTGATTATCACTTTGTGAGATGTAATGGTTCAAGAGCTATGTTGCAACCATCTCAGCTCTTGTATGTCACTTAAGATGTATGAAATATGTTTACTTAATAAATGTCTGATTTTCATTTTCTAAAATTAAAGATGAGCTAAAACCCATTATATTCAATGGAGTCAGCCCAGCTTTAGAGCTTTAATAACAAAAACCTCCTGACTTTTGAGTGGGTTGAGACTGAAATGAGTGATGGTACACACAGCGTTCTAGCAACAAAGGCCTTGTTGCTGTAACTGAATCTAAATGGGCAGCTCCAAATAGAGGATCACTGTCAATACCAGTAATTACACAACACTGGGAAGAAATGTTTTCCATTACTTTTTCTGTGAAGGACGCTGATTCAGAACTTAGAAACTGGAGAAGTTTTATGTTGACTAGTCTTGGTGCACCTGGCATTACTAAAGCAATTGCAAAGTTAAAGGTCAGGGGAAAAAATCAAACCTGCTGGCAATGTAGAAAATTCCACAAATGCTTCTTTTTTTTCCCGTTGCTCCAGAGGAAGCTGCCAGGGCATCTGATGGGGCTTTGCCATGACCTTCACCTTGTAGGCCATACTGGGCTTCAAATTTAAAAACTGGTACTTATAGCTAGCAGCCTTGACAATATCGAACTCTTCTTCATTCAGAAAGATCACATGACTGTAATTGCTATTGGTAGGAAGCCAGGACAGCTCAGCGGAAATCTGGGTTATGTTGTCCACCTTAAGATGTGAAGGTGCCACGATAACATCCTTCCCAACTAACAAAGTGCACAGTAGCTCATCTGAGGTACCTCTGCTCGTAATGCTCTGAATCGATATTCGGTATGTGCAAGTAGCAATGTTAAGTTTTTCTATAAGTGCTTTAGTTCTGCTTCCCAAGGACACATTCATGCGTATTTCTTTGTCAACCAGGACATTGTAGCTGTTAATCATTCCCCATCCAGGTGGCACAACTGGTGGCTCCCAGCCCACAATAACACTTTTGGCTAGTTGTTTAATAAGGGTTATTTTTCTAGGATAAGGCACAATGTCTTCTCCAATTTCATCAATGTTCACATCAAAAGTCCCTGTGCCATTGTTGATTACACTAGACTCTACGTGACTTGGTGGATTGATCTCCAGTAGACTATCTCCTTCCAAAGCATGATCTGAATGGTTGATAAAATTCTGATCCTGTTCGCTGCCTAAGATGCTTGACAAACGGGACTCGTTATCTTGAACAAAATCCACAAAGTTGGAAGGGACCAATCCTCTTTGTCCATCTAGAAGTTCACCTGGTGAGAAAGAACAACCAAATATCATGTTAAAAACTCTCACACAGGACCAAACAAGCTGACTTCTAGATGACTCTCTCCTTTGGTCATCTTGGGCTGAAGAAGTACATTAAATAATATGAAATCCTGTATGTCATTGTAAGAGGTTGCAAGACACTGAGAGGTCCCTGGTAAACCAGGGGTTAACTGCAGCTCAGACTTCCTCTTTCTCTGGCAGAAAGGCTCTGTAAAAAGCATGTTAAGAAGCTGACTGGGAAAGTCTGCTTCCTCAGATAGGAATTAAAGGACTAGATTGGAAGGGGACTTTTCTGTGCATGCTTTTTTTGCTTTTGCTCACTTACTTTTTCTCTTACAACAGAGATTATTTTTTAAGAAAAAGACCTCAGTGGCTGTAACTATTTTGTTCTGCTGACTTACTGATCCAGCTGATGGATCCAAGTGGTTATAAAACTCAATAGAATACTGTTAATATGCATTTTCCAAATACACACAGCCTGGAACCTACGCACTAAAGCAAGTAGCCTCTCTCTATCTCCCATCAAAGATTCATAGCTATGGCCTTCATATTACAGCCTCCATTACTATCACACAATTAAACCATGAACTAATCACTATGGATTTGTCTACCCAGAAGCGTTATTTTGGAATGACACCTGTGTTTACACACAAGCAGTTATTTCAACATAATGTCGAAATAATGTTGAGCTAGAGGACTGCTTACTCCAACTCCTATAACTCTCATTGTATGAGGAGTAAGTCAAGTTGGGGGAAGAGTGCTGTATCTCAAAATAACTGCTGTGTAGATAGCACCAAAAATTGAAATAAGCTATTTTAACTTAAGCTAAGCAATTAGCTCAAGTTGCATAGCTTATTTCAAGTTTAGCCCTGCTGTGTAGACATACCCTTGCACTTAAGGCTCAGGCTACGTCTAGACTGCAAGCCTCTTTTGAAAGAGGCTTTTTCGAAAGGTACTTTCGAAAAAGAGCATCTAGACTACAACCAATACTTTTAAAAAAGCAAGCCTCTTTTTCGAAAGAGAACACCCAGGCAGTCTGGATGCTCTCTTTCAAAAAAGCAAAGTTTGCATTACATAGCACCTTTTTTCAAAAGAGCACTTTTGAAAAAAGGTGTTATTCCTCATAAAACGAGGTTTTCCGTGTTTACTCTTGAAAGAACACAGCAGCAGTCTAGACGCAGGGGAAGTTTTTTAGAAAAAAAGCCATTTTTTTCAAAAAAACCTTGTAGTCTAGACACACCCTCAGAGTGGCAATTGTGTTAGTTTGTATGTGTATAAATGAGTAATCCTATGGCACCTTAAAAACCGACAGATTTAATTGGATAAAAGCTTTCGTGTGTTAAAACCACTATGTCAGGTGCACAAATAAATCTGTTAGTCTTTAAGGTGCCACAGGTCTCCTTGATACTTTCACTGAAGTCGATAAGAATCTCAGGCAGACAATAAAACCCAGGATTTAAGCAGCACACACAGGATGATTTGATCTCTCATATTGTGAAGCTGCTTTGAATGTATTATTATGTGTATTTGAATAGCACTAAAAAGGCCTCAGCTGAAATCAGTCATGTGGCTCTAGGAATTGGAACATTACACAATAAGGGAATATTAGCTTTGTCCAGAAAAAGATAATCATCTAAGTAGATAAGAAAAGCAAAAGCTGGATCATTATTAACCCCATTTTAGAGGTGAGTAAGGCATCGAGAGACTAAACGACATGCCCTGAATCAGAAGAGGAGTCTGTGGCAGAGCCAGAAATTGAACCAAATATCCCGAGTCTCAATCCAGTATCTTGACCATAAGGATTCATTTCAGTGAGGATGCAATCAGGCATGTGTAATCATGTTTGTATACAAGCATGTCTCAGCAATTGCTAATGGGATTTCATTAGTGAAATATTGCACATCTGTAGATCTTTCAGAGTTCAAACTCAGTGTATTAGCAAAAGTTTATAGTGTTAATTTAGGACACCAAATAAATGGTTTTGTTACTAGTGAATATTGAGTTATTTGAGGTACAAATAAGGTTGATACACTGAGACAATAAAATTATTTATCAACTGTTTTATCACTGCTAAATGTTCATGAAACACATATCCAGCCTTAAATGTAGGTAATAGATAAGCAAGTTAAGAAATGGTCAACTTGTGTTGTCTTATACATACTTTGGCACGTGGAAGTAAAAATTAAAGTGACCAAGGCCCTGGATCTGTAGGGCACTTAATCACGTATGTACTTTTCCTCATATGCAGTCCCACGGCAGTCAAAATGCAGGACAATGTAGCACTTTAAAGACTAACAAGATGGTTTATTAGATGATGGGCTTTCGTGGGCCAGACCCACTTCCTCAGATCTGAGGAAGTGGGTCTGGCCCACGAAAGCCCATCATCTAATAAACCATCTTGTTAGTCTTTAAAGTGCTACATTGTCCTGCATTTTGACTGCCGTGGGACTGCATATGAGGAAAAGTACATACGTGATTAAGTGCCCTACAGATCCAGGGCCTTGGTCACTTTAATTTTTACTTCCACGTGCCAAAGTATGTATAAGACAACACAAGTTGACCATTTCTTAACTTGCTAGTCAGTATGTCTACACTGCAATTTAAGGCCAAGGTTCAAATTAGGCTCAAGCCTAACCTTCCTTCTGTCTACACACAAATCATATGAATACAGGGCTCAGACCTTGGATCCCATGAGGGTGGTCAATCTGAGTCTTGAGTCAAGCCAGGACTCAGGATTCAAATCAGATTGCTTTGTAGTGTAGATACAGCCCCTCTGGACTCATGCTCTTGCAGTCCAACAAAAGTATTCCCAGGGCTGACTTTGTCCTCTGGACAGTACAATTAGTGGACAGTCAAGTTTTCCCACATTGCACCACAAACAAAGGGTTAGAGTAATGACATTTTGGGAGGACAGTAGGAAATCTCGGTTATTGGTCTCAGATTTGCATTATGCAGTAAGATGTTGAAGCCTCCATTTGGGACCAAGGATTCCACCATTTCTAACTGGAGTTACAAATAAGTGTAGATGCTTAAGCCACAGGTTAACAAACCCAAACTTTACTAACTGGAGTTCTGCTAAACCTGGATTCCCAGTGTAGACTACGCAACAAATCCTGTGTCTAGACTACACCTCTCTGTCAACAGAGAGATGTAGATTAGGCACATCAAAATTGCTAATGAGGCAGGGATTTAAATGCTACTTACCTGAGACAAGTTATGTATGCACTGAAGTGCTTTGCAAAACAGTGCTAATGATATTTGAGTGCTAATGATATTTAACACGCTGCACAAAACTAAATCAGCTTAAAGTGAAGGGCAGCCCTTTGTGGAAAAACTAAATTATGAAGTCAATGTTGCAGGGAGCAACATCAGTCTGAAAGGGAATGGAAAGAAAACAGTATTCATGGCATTGTTAATCCACTCATATCAAAGCATTATGTACTATCTTGTTCCACTATGACTTTGTATCAGTGTCTAGCAAGAGGAAATTCAACATAGAAGAATCAAATATTTATAGATTGAAGAGAGTCAAGGATCTCTCAGGCAAAAACTAAAATCTCACGGAGCTGTCTTGTCAGCGCAAATCCTGTCAAATAGGAAATGCTGATGGTTCAGGGAATCTTACAAATTAGCCGTGAGTGGAAGGAGCTGCTGTATAGGTGCATAAATTCTGTTAATTACAGGGAACAAGATAAAGGGCTTTATCAATTGCTTTTGATTGTGGAGAACGTGGCAAGGCAGTTAAAATGTTTCAAATCAACATAAACTAATAAGATATAAATAAAAAACCTTCATAGAAGCCATCTTCATCCATGTCTCCATATACGTAGAGGTATTTTCCTGCTGTAAGAGGGAGCTCTGCTTCTGGATTTTCATTTGGTCCATCAAATGGGTTGTAACTACAGTGAAGCACAGATGGAAACTTCATTCAGTCAATGGGTGTATTTAATGAGTTACAATCCACACTCCACTGCATATTAACCACACAGCAGCATATAGTTCTAAAGGCTGCACATGAGAGGAACTCTAGAGTCCCATCTTCTTGCTGCACCTTTGGAAATACATATTTCATATTTTAGCGAGCCTAAAGGAATCAGAGGAACCTTTATATTACATTATTATTGTTGTTATTATTTATATTGCTATAGCACCTAGGAATGTGCTAACCTTGTGCTAGGTGTACGCAGAACAAAAAGAGGCTTTCTTCCTACCACACTGAGCTTGATTACGATGGCCACACTGTGTCAGACTAATGGTTAATATCACCCAATATCCTGTCTTCTGACAGCTGCCAAGGCCAGATGCTTCAGAAGTAATGAACAGAACAGGGCAATTACTGAGTCTAGTCCCAGCATCTGGCAGTCAAAGATGAAGGACACTCAGACCAATGGGGATCTATTGATAGGTCGATCCCACCTGAACTTATCTAACTCTTTTTGTGAATCAAGTCACACTTTTCCCCTTTACAACATCTTCTGGCAAGGAGTTCCATAGGTTGACTGTGTATTGTGCGTAGAAGTGTTTCATTTTGTTTATTTAAAACCTGCTGCCTATTAATTTCATAAGGTGACCCCTAGTTCTTGTGCACATGAAGGGGAAAACAACACTGCCTTTTTGATTTTTTCCACAACATGCATGATTTTATAGACCTCTATCATATTTCCTCTTAGTCTCTTTTCTAAGATGAACAGTCCCGGTACTTTCAATATATCCTCATATAGTAGCCGTTCCATACTCTAATCATTTTTGTTGCCTTTCTCTGTACTTTTTCCAATTCCAGTATACCTTTTTTGATTCAGGGGCACCAGAACTGCATACAATATTAAAGCTGGACATACTATGGATTTATATAATGGTATTATGATATTTATTCTCAAATACCTTTCCTAACATTTCTTAACTTTGTTTCTATGACTGCCACTGCACACTGAGTGGATGTTTTCAGAGAATTTGCTGCAATCTCTAAGCTAATTTATGGCTTATCATTTTGTACATAGAGCTGGGATTATGTTTTCCAATTTGCATTATTCTACATTTATCAACACAGAACTTTATCTGCCAACTTGTTGCTCAATCACCCTGTTTTATGAGATCCTTCTGTAAGTCTTCTCAGTCAGCTTTGGATTTAACTACCTTGACTAGTTTTGTATCATGTGCAAACTTTGTCACCTCTCTGCTTACCTCTTTCCAAATAATTTACTAACTCTTTTAGTCTCCTTAAAACATCCCAGCCTATATCTTTACTGAATTTTAAAGCAACTACATAAAACCTTATATTGCTCTTTCTCCCAAATCATCTCTATCAAGATCTGTTAATTTTCATGAATTATTCTTCTCCATGAAACAATAAATTATAGCAAAATCTAACTCGCACTCAGATAAAAGTTTTTACAAGGCATAAAGAATTTATCCAATATTTGGGTTAGATTATGAATTGGCAAGTCTTGCTGAATAGCCGTCACTGGATAATCATGCTTATAATAATTCCTTGAAATTCTCATGCTCTGAGTGGGCCAGAAAAGAGTTTAGACCTTTGCACCCATCAGAACATCAGTATTAAGGTAACATTAAGGGCCCAATGTAAAGCTTACTGGAATCAACAGATACCTTTCAATTAGAGGTTTGTATTAGGCCTTAATCTCCTCCTATCTCT